GCATGTTGGGACCTCGACCGCATTCACGAGGGGGAAGCAGACAGTTGGTTGAAGATTAAGGTGCGTTGATGCACCATAAAAAATTATTTAAATCAATTTCATATATAGTATGTGAGTTGTGAGTTCTGCAGTTGTATGTGAAAAAAAATGAAAATGTTTAAGAAATAAACCACCATGGGTAAGAGAAAGAAGCCAAAGGTACCATTAAATAATCTGGAGTATTTTTTTTTTTTTTTTTTTAATGATTTTGAGCCTGCTTCACATATGTGAGTAACGTCAGACTTCAAAACATTATCAATGTGAATAAAAATCTCAAAAGTGAAATTCAAACAATTAAACGTTAGTATATTCATAAACGTTAAATATTAGTATTTCATAAACATTAAATATTAGTATGTTCATAATAGACTAAGTAGTATATAAATATTAGACAAATGTATAAATATAAGTCATATATTTCACCTAAACAAATGTTTGAATTAATTATAGAAAAAATATTTTCTATAATTTTGCATTTTTTAAAAATTACTGTGCCCTTATATATATATATATATATATATATATATATATATATGTGTGTGTGTGTGTGTGTGTGTATGTGTGTGTGTGTGTGTGTGTGTGTGTGTGTGTGTATCCGGATTAATCAATATTTAAATCCTATATTTCCCTTTAAGAAATGTTAGAATTAATTTTTACAAAAAATATTCTGTAATTTCATATGAAAAAAAAATTCAACAGTGCCCTCATTATATATAGACGGACAGAACCAGGTTAATCAAATATTTTGAAAGTAATATATTCGAATATAATTTTGTATATGAAAAAAATTTCAACTGTGTTAATAAATCATGAAAAATATATTAAATGGGAAATTATCCTATAGAAAATTTTATATTTATATAAGTTATAATTCATGTAATTATTCCATCCATTTTTTTTAGTTTTGTGGTTATAAATATTTAAAATTTTTTAGTTTTATATTTATACAAGTTCAAAATTTTTTAAATTATTTCATCTGATTGTTGGACTTTTTTTTTCTAAAAAAAAATCAGTATTTAAGCATGGTTAGTGATATATAGATATCTTTTGGGTTAGTAGTTCGCACTCAATTAACAAATAGCTGAAGGAGCGTGGAATGCCGCAGAAAGAAGAAAACGTAGAGAGATTATCGACAAGCGTATTTGAGTGAGAAGCTGCGCAATAATAATGGATTAGGGTTAGGGATTTGCATATTTGAGAACCTGCACAATAGTAATGGGTCTAGGGTTTGTTATTTGGGTTTTGTTTTGTTTTTTATATTTTTGTGCAAATTATGATGGTGCACACGGTTGCAAAAATGATGTCGTTTTGATTAAAAACGTGCGTCCGATTTTTTTTTTTTTAAATAGTTTCGATTGCCGTTAACGGCGTAATGTTGTGCATAATTTGAACTATATATCCAGAATGAATGAACTATATATCCTGAATGAATGAACTATATATCCTGAATGAATGAAATATATATCCAGAATGAATGAACTATATATCCAAAATGAATGAACTATATAGTTTAAATTATGCACAACATAATGTTGTTAACGACAACCGAAACTAAATTTTTTTTAAAGGCGAACGTCAAAACGATGTCGTTTTTGCAACATGGTGCACACGGTTGCACAGCATAATGCTCTGTTTTTTTGGTTTTGGGCTGATTTTTTGCAAGATGAATAAAGACTTTGATTTTAAGATATGTACTAACTTTTATCAAAAAGAAAAAAAAAAGATATGTACTAACTTTTTAATAATTTGTAATTTTGATTAGTATTTTAATAATTATTTTTAATAATTTGTAATTTTGATTAGTTTTATTTATTATTACTAATTTAACTTTTTATAATCAACATAACGATTGATATGAGACCATAACATTTATACTTAAATTTTTCATACCGTGCATCGCACGGGTAAAATACTAGTATAAATATATAACCATACATGTATTGTAGGCAGTGAAGATCCAGCTCCAGTACTAGATGTGCTGCACAACTCTGCAAAAAAAAAAAAAAAAGGTGTAAGTTATAAGTTAAAACATGTAAATTTTCAGTATTTACATTTCCCAATCCTTTCAACATCATCAATATTTTCTTCAACAGAGATTGGTTGATTGGCTAACCTCAACCAATCCTATGCACACACAAGTGCTTCAACAATCTTAGGAGTTTAGGAACTCCTAAAGGCATCTAGTACCCTTCCATTGGTACTGAATGTTGATTCAGATTCAATAGTAAAGATTGGAACAACAAGTACATCCCTTGCCATTTTAGATAACACAGGGAACCTCTCAAAACTCAGCTTCCACCATCTGAGAAGGTCAAAAGAATCATCCTCATCCACAATGACCTCAGACAAATACACTTCCAACTCAGTTTTTTTGCTTGACAAATCCCCACTCTCCAATCTTTGTTTCTTAATCTGGGATTTCAATCATGATTGAGGTTTCCCAACAGAAACAGAATCAGAAATAACAATTGAGGGAGCTGATTTGTCAGATTATTCAGGAACAGACTGGACAGGAAAATAGGCAACATAATCTTGAAACAACTCCTTAAGGCCAACAAGAACCTTATCAAACATTGATTTACCTTTGTCCTCACCACATAACTAGTTAAACTGAATGGACATATATTCTATTTTGTCCCTTGGGTCTAAGATATTTGCATAGAATATGAGAAAATTCATTTTCTCAGGCTCACCCCAATGCTTATCAAACTTTTCCCTCATATTTATACCCATCAGTTTAACACTGCCATCAACTTCCACCATATTATTCAACAAGCAAGACAGATCAGAAACCTCAGAGAAAGATGTATTAGAAGTCACATAGAGTGAACCAAAAATCCTAACAGTCATTTCCTAAAAAGATTTAACAATCTTAACCAAATCAGAAATAGATTCCAATCCATGAAGTCAGACATATTTAATTCTCATCCAAATCAGCTTTAAATGAACTGTCTAAGCTTCCATACTCTTCAAAGACTTTGTGATATAACAATGCAGTATTCAACATCATATAGGTTGAGTTCCACCTTGTAGGAACATCAAGACACAAAGAATTCATGGGTTCCAACCCCAATAAATCAGCTAGCTCCCTAAACTTTTGTAACCTAGCAGGTGAGCTCCTCACATAATACCTAACTGCTGACAGCATCCCTCCACGCAGGTAATAGAGGCCTTGTGACTCATTCCCGGTACCAATCACCTTCCCTGTACTACGATCCTGCACAACAACCGAATCATCAAAAAAGGTTATGAAACAATTGAAGGTATGGATAATCTTACTCACAGAGATAAGGTTGAAGGGACTATTAGGGACATATAAAATAGACTCTAAGGAAAAAAGATGACAAAGGGGAAGCCTGACCAACACCAACTGCTGGTGTTTGATGACCATTAGCTAAGGTAACCACGGGTAAACTCTTAGACTTAGATATATTATGCATAAGTGAGAGGTTACCAGAAATATTATATGAGGCACCTGAGTCCAATATCCAAGTATTTGGAGTACTGGCGTGACAGAGACAAACCAAAGAATATGTACTAGCATTCGGAGAAGGTGTGGAAGAGCCAAGGCGGGATGCTTTAAACTGGAGGTACTCTTCATACTCCACAAGGTTCATCTCAATTGGGGTAGAACTCGATCCATGAGTCTGAATCCCAGATCTAGTAGCCTGAACCACATTAACAGTGCATAGAGGTCTACCATGTAACTTGAAGCAACGATTTTTAGTATGACCTTCTTGTGGCAGTAGTCACAATGAGGACGTTTGCCATGACGAGTGCTACCAACACCGGATGGTCCTCTATCTGTAGCCCGAGATGCTAGTACTGATGATCGTCCAATAGGTTCAATTGAGGGAGCAGAGGCAACACAAATCAGTTTGGTAGCGGTTTCAGTTAAGGTAGCATATATAGTAGGACTAGCTAAAATCTGATCTCAAACATGAACCAGATCAAGACGAAAGGTAGCCATGGTCAACACCATAACGAACTTGTCACATTGTTTCACGTGACCTTTTGTTTTCTTCTCATATGGCATCAGGTTATTATACTCCTATTGTAAAGCTTCGATTCGGCCAAAAAATTTTGGTATACCCATATCAACAGTCCCACAGTAGTTAAGCATATTAGAGATTAGAGAATAAAGCCTTTGGACATCATAAGTGTAAAGGGATTTGGTTTTATTCCAAACGTCATAACATGTCTCATATGCTTTGTAGATGGTATGGAGTTTAGGGTCAATTGACTACCACAACATGTTGCATAATAATGCATCCACCTTCTCCCAGTCTACTTTCTTTGCTTCTTGAACGTTCTCACCTCTTGTGTCTAGATGGTCAGACATACCTTGGCCATTGAACCAAAGTTTCACAGGCTCAACCCACGATGCATAATTCTCACTCTCAACTAATTTGTCCATTGTAATAGTGGGAAAAGAGGTAAAAGTTGGGGAAGATGACGCCATAATGATAACCAACTAAAAACAAACACACTGACTGTTAGCGGTGGCGACAGTGGCCGGCGGCCGGCAAATAGAAACTTGAAACACAGTTAGGAGTGTCTCCACGAGACGAATCCAAAGGTGGCAACGACGTCTTGATCGGAGATCTGAAGAGGGAGATCATGCCGGAAAATAGAGGCGGCTCTCGGCGACGCGGTGGTGCGTGAGACGGCAGACGACGACAAAATTCCAGGCATAGGCTCGCGACGGTGATTCGAGAAGGCCTGTGGTGCAAAAATGGAAGAAAAAACCACAAAGAAAGGTTGGATCTGAGATGGCAGTCACGGCGGCGGCGGAAACTAGGGTTTTTATTAGAGTTTTGGCTCTGATTCCACGTTGAATAATGAAAGGTTCAATCTATTTCACACATTAGAGTTGTATAGATCACAACTATTTATACAAAAAAAGCTATAACATAATAGGCCTACTCTTAACAGACCTAGGGTTTCAACAAGGTTTAACATATATTTTCTCAAAAGTGAAAGAAGATTACTGACAGAGCAACTCTTTATTTTGTTCAAGATCTCCAACTGCACCCACAGAAAAGTAACTTAGATAAAGAACCCTTCTGGCTAGTTTACTTATTAAACCGACGTGACAGAGCTAAGGCTGTGCAAACCCGACCCAACCCGCAATATCCGCCCGATTCGAAATATGAAACCAAGGCATCCAACCCGCTCCGCATCCGAATCACCATATCCGATCCGCATGGCCAAACGACGTCGGATAAGCGAGATCGGATAGGTTTGGTTTTTTTTGTATCCGATCCGTCTGATTATACGAACTTTCGTAGGGTTAGGGTTTCCTATATACTAAACGACATCGTCTGGCCTAAGTATATATGTATGTTGATGAGTTGAATGCACCATTTGCGCAGTCGCTACTCTCTCTCTTTGAGACTCCTTCTCTGACTCGCTGAGTTCTCTCTACTCCTCGTCTCCTCTAACTTCTCTCTACTCTCTCAGAGTCTGAGACTTTGAGTTCTCTCTACTCCTCAGTCCTCCCTCTACTCTCTACTCTTTGTTAGTCTGTTGTCTCTTCTTTTTTAATAGACGGTAGTTTGAGACTCTGACTTCTCCGATAGTTCGATAGTCTGATTGTCTGATTGTCTAGTGACTGGTGCCCGTTGGTGGTAGAATCCCTTCTTGAGTTCTCGTGGTGATCATTGAGTAGAGGCCCTTGTTCTCTGGGGAATATTAAGGAGAAACCAAGTATAACACAAACCCTATTTTTTATTTTTATGATTTGTTGATTTTATTCATTGCATGTTCTTATATTTGTGTTATATTATGAATATGTTGTGATCTATTATTATATTATGGTGGAAGCTGTTGTAATCTCAAACCCTAGATTTGCAGTTGTGATTTATTCACTGTATTGTGATACATTCTGTCGGGCTGTGTGCAAATTTGATCCAACCTGCTAATATTGCATTATTGTGATATATATATGTTCTGAACTTCTGAGTTCTGAAATATTTTGTGTTTCTGATATTCTGATTTCTGATATAATGGTGGAAGCAGTGTGATTTTGTGATATTATGCGATCTATTGTGATGTCCCTTTAAAAGTTAAAGGCTTGAATGTGAGATTATCAAGTTTCAAACGTGAAATTTCCATTTATTGGTGGAAGCCATTAACTGAAATCCAGATAATGATGAATTGGATACAGTTCCTGAATCTGGATTTCTTTGACTATGTTTATGGATGTATGACCCTTAACTGAATGTAAATATGTAAATATGTAAATATGTAATTGTGAAATTATGAAATTTTGATAAATAATGGCACAAACAAGTGTTTGAATCTTGATTTCTTTGTATGTTTATGTGATTGTTGTCGTTGCTGAGTACTTGAACTTGTTGGACCTTTAACTGATGCCCATCATTTTAGATGGAGAGCATCAATGTTCCTGATTCTTGACCTCAACCCTCAACTCAAGAGGGACATGGAGGACAAGCCCAAGGAACTGAGAAACTTGCTCAGCAGCCTCAGGTGACTCTTGTTGTTCCTGCAAAAAAAGAGGAAGGAGGTTGAGTCTAGATCAAAAGTCTGGGATCACTTTAAGAAATCATATGGTGGCCTGTCTTAAAAATCCTCATTCAAAGGATACAAGGCAGTCCCTTCTCACATTCAATATTGTTTCAACTTCTGGAACAGAGGCTCATGTGGGAGTTTTGGGGACATGGGTCTTTAATCAAGAGGCCATTAGGAGGGCATTGTGTGAGATGATCATCATAGATGAACTCCCTTTTAGGTTTGTTGAGGGTCAGGGGTTCAAGAAGTTTATTCTTGTAGCTTGGCCTAGGTTTCAGATTACTTCTAGGTGGACTATTTCTAGGGAACCAAATTTTCCTAGATGAGAGGCTGAGTCTTAAGAAGTTGTTTAGGGTGGGCACCCAAAGGGTCAGTTTAACCACGGATACATGGACTTATGTCCAAAGGATTAATTATATGTGCATTACTGCAGGTTTTATTGATGACCAATGGAAACTTCAGAAAAAAATAATTTCCTTTGTCCCTGTTTCTTCTCATAGGGGGGAGTATATTGCCAAAGCCTTAGAGAGTTTTCTGTTAGAGTGGGGGATTAAAAATGTGTTCACTGTGACATTAGACAATGCTTCTTCTAATGATACAGATTTGGGATTTTTTTAAAAGCAAGCTATTGTCTTGGGGTTCTTCTCATGTTAGGGTGCAGTATATGCACATGAAGTGTATAACCCATATCCTATATTGTAGTGGTTTAAGATGGCTTGAGGTTAGCAGATGAGTCAGTAAAAAGGGTGAGGGACGCAGTGAGATGGGTTAGGAACTCACCTGCTAGGTTGAATAAGTTCAGAGAGCTTGCTGAACTCATTGGGGTGGAAGCCAAAGCAGCTTTGCAGCTTGATGTCCCTACAAGGTGGAACATCACCTACATTATGCTCAACACCGCAATTCAATATCAAAGGGTCTTTGATGCATATCATCAAAATGATCCATCTTTTTCTGTTGACTTGGGTTCTGCTCATTCTTTCCTAGATTGACAGACTGTTGAAAGCTTAATGAAGCTTTTGAATACTTTTTATGAAATGACAGTGAGAATATGTGGTTCTCTTTATGTAACTTCTAACACATTCTTCTCTGAGATCTCTGATCTCAGTTGCATGCTGGAAGATATGATTAAAGCTGAGAATACCGAAAAGGTAAAACCCTTGTGTTTATTTGTGTTTATTTGTTTAACTTGTAACTGTTTTAGTGTTTTTAACTTTTTATGCTTTCTGTATTTATATATTTAATAGGTAATGGGGACAAAAATGAAAGACAAGCTTGATAAATACTGGGGAGATCCAGAAAAAATCAACCATCTCATTTTCTTTGCCAATATTCTGGACCCAAAGATAAGGAGGAGTACATGCCTCACCAGTTTGTCCAGTTTTATGGAGATGTCAAAGGCAAAGCTTGTTTTGCCAAGGTCCAAATGCAATGGTTGCATTGTATAATGACTATGCAACTACATGCTCTGACAGTTCATCCTCTAACCAACCTGTCCAGTCTCAGGCTACTAGTTGTACAGTTGGTAGGCCTGTGTCAAGGATGAAGAATGAACTTAAAAAAAAAAAAAAGATTGGAGAGTGGTGTTGGAAGTAGTAAGCAAACAGAGCTACAAATTTACTTGAGTGAAAATCTGGTTGAGGATGATGAATCTGTGAGTTTTGATGTTTTAAAGTGGTTGAAGAGTTATATTGAGAGATTTTCTATTCTTTCAAAAATGGCTAGAGATGTCCCATTTAAGTTTTGATTTTAAAAAGAAGAAGTGTAGATTGTTGTAAAGATATTGATTGGAATGATTGCTGAAGTATAAGTGATTAACTTCGAATTTTGCATTTTTTTTTATTTTTTAGAAGTTAAACACTTAAACTTAGATTAATTTTGTTTACTTTTGCAATTTTTGTTGTAAAATTAAATTATTATATGTTTTATGTTTATGTTATTTAGCTCTGAAAATTATTAAGTTATTGCATATTTAATGTTTTATTCTGTTTACTTATTAGTTATTTTTACTTATGTTGTTTAAATTATTCAATTATTAATGACTTTTTGAAATCCGAATGAAATCCGAAATCCGATCGGTAAAATTTGAAATTCAATTTAACATATTCCATAGGTTTTTAAGTAAAAAAAAAATAACGGATTGGATTAGTAAAAATGCAATCCAAAATCCAATGGGATGGACGGATTACATATTTGATCCGATCTGATCTGTCCGATGCAAAGGGCTAGAGTGCTAGACAGAGCAATACTCATGCCCGCCCAGAAAGTATTTTCTTTGAGTTTATGCTTGTTAAACCTCTGGCTATGCATTCATTTTGCCCTTAAGTTGTGATTATTACAGGTTCGCATCCAGTAATTATCTCATTTTAGAATGATGTATATACTTTTATTGAACTGGATTCCTTGTGGTAAATTATATCTCTGTACTTGGTGTTGTTGCAATGCTGAACTTATACTAGCAGGTATTTGTAATAGAGCAATTAAGAAGATGCAGAGGTTGAACCCTACTGTACCTGGCCTAAATTCTGGGCTAGATTAAGGATAGATAGAAGCAGAAGGCTTTTCCGAGTTTAACATATCTTGGGAGAATTTGACCCTTGGAGTTCAGAAAAGAAGTGAGGATAGTGGTGTAACTAAATTGAAGATAAAAAGACTTGTGGTCACCTGCATTTTATGCTACCTGGTACATATTCTATTCTCTTCTCTTCTCTTCTCTTCATTCTACCAGCAATATAGACCAGGTTCAACCTCTGCAATTTCCATGCCTTTAGTTTTGGTATCAGACAATGCTTCCCAAAGAGTATTATTGAATATTTACTTCAAAAGAAATAAACACGGACAGTAATGCATATTCATAGCATATGTGCTCTAAGAACCAAGGCTCATAGTGTAAGATTCACAAAGGCCTTCAAACTCACAAGTTTACTTACTATAAATAGGTGGCCATATTGCATGAAATTGATAAAACATGGCATCAAGAATTGAAGTTACAGAAAAGGAGTGAGTCAGGTTTCCCCTGGAGTCCCTCTGAACACTTCATTGGGGAAGGGTAATTGCCTACTGAAGTGTTTGGGGGAACTCTGGGAGCCACTTGACACTCATCATCATTACATACATCATGTTCTATTTTCTTTAATTTCAAGAGTTTATGTACTAATGCTTCTCCGTTGAATGGTTTAGGTTTCAGAGACTTGCTGGCAATAATAATTCACTAGTAATACACTAGTTGAACTCATGCATGCATAAATCGATCTTGATAAAAAAAAATAAAAATTAAAGTTAATTTTTACTATCTTTTTTTTTTTTTTTTTTTTTTTTTTAATCCCGTAACTTAATTTTTGAAGTCTTGCGTTATCTCCCATGGTGATCTCAATTTGTAAGTATTCTTCAAATCCTTCTAATAATGTTTAGTTTTCAATTTTTATCTTGTTACTAGTTTCTTGTTTTAGTTTGGAGTTCTAATATATATATGTTTTGTGTATTGCACTTACATACTTTGGAGACATTATATAGTGATGATGAAATTGTTATAGTGATGGGACACAAATGGTATGATATGTTACAAAGAGTGGACACAAAAGTATAATTAAGATGAGAGATTATAGGTCAAAGTACCTATGAAGTCCCTATACGATAATGCTCGAAAGGAGTGATAGTTTCGATCATTCACCATTAAGTACTCCACCTAATCTATCTGCTCCACTAAAATCGACTGCCAACAGCAAGAAAAAGATAGATTAATTTCTTGAAGCTCTATCTAGCATGTTATCTTTTTCTTTGATAAGAATCAGATAAATCATTGTCGCTTCTGGGTATCTTATCTAAGTCATGTGATCTCAAATTATTTTCGCTCATATCATGATATCGCTCCTGACCACTGAAGGTTATCACATGTCTATGGTCAAACACTTTATTATGACGCATCGATTTGAGGGTCACATTGATGAGAGAAAACGCTTAAAATTTCAAAATGGGAATTAATGACTATTGTGGAATTTTATGGTCATAGGAGTCATCATCATTGACCCGTGACTGCCTCGCTCGATCTACTTAAGAACGGATGGTTCCTCAAGCATTTCATATCTTCTAAAAATGGATAATCAGAAAAACAAAAAAAACCGGTGATCTGAGCGTTGCAAAAACCTCATCCAAGAAAAGCAAAAGCCTAAAACCTGAAAAGATGAGCAAAATTCTTGCTCGGCACACAGAGCAAGAGCTACGTGAGCTCAAAGAAGACATTGAAGATCCCAACTTCGACGAGAATCTCCTGAAGTACATTGACAGCATTCCTATGACTCACTGGTCTCCCCCGTCAGTGATACGGAGTCCGTGGTGTCTCTTAACACCTAGAAGAATGAGGTGAGGGCATGCCTGGCTGGAGAATTTGAGGAGGAAGACTCCGTGGATGGACCGAGCCTCAAGGAAGAAGAGAAGAATTAATCTTCTTTCTAACTCTAGGACCAAGTGTATTTAGATTTTGATGATACCAAACTGTCTTAGATTGTAGACCCCCATTTTTCTTTTCTTAGATAAGTCTTGCCCGAGACTAGTATAATAGGTTTACATGAAGATTCTAAGATAACAAGCTGATCGAAAGATGCTACAGACGAAAGAAGGATTGAGCAAGTCTCGGATATACCGCTTTTACAAAAGGAACCTTCGTCTAAGAAGGAAGGGCGAAAGGTGAAGACAATATTTCGTTCCTCATTTCCAAGCGAACAAGTCAAAGACAGACTTGTAAAAGACAACACTCATTAAGCGAAGCAATGAGAATGTTGTCTATGACTCAGATGGACAAATCATTCGGGCAAAAAGTGTCTTAGGAATGATCTTCACAAAAGACAATGAGCATTAAAAGACTTGTACCATCTTGTCAGAGATCAAAGACAAAAGTCATAATGCTTTTGGCTCCAACGGCTATACTGTACAAGTGCATTAAATGCCCAATGCCCAATGGGTAATACTCACTGGTTATTAGGTTTGAAATTTTCATCTCCCTCCAACGGATGGATTTTTCCACCTATAAATACCTCTCTTCACCATTGAAGAAGGTGCTGGTTAACTCACTCTTGCTATCCTAAGAAAAGCTCTTCAGGTAGTCCCATCTCCTGAAGTTTTTCATAAACAGTGATATTGTGAAGTTTTTCAAAGACATATCCGTCCTCTTACTTCACAACTTGAAGTAGTCTTGCAATTTCTCAAGTGAAGATTCATCTAGACTTCAAGACAATGCTTCAACCTGTTAGAGAAACATCAGATTATCCTTCCAACATCTCAACTCAGAAAGAAGTTGATAGAGGCAGAGTAAACTCGAGGAGTTGAAAAACCTTTCAAGTGGCTGTCCGACTTAGTGATCAAGGAAGCCAGCTTGAAGTAGTTTGTACTAGGAGTGAGAGTGCAAACCCTTTCACGAGTTGTGAAAGAAGAGTAGAGTAGGCTTCGTTAACAGCCGAACCACTATAAAAATCTCTCTCTCCATATCTCCTTACATTTCGTTATATTACTTTCGTGCATTGCATATCATATCGACCAAACGCTAAGTTTTTCACTTTAACAAAAGTGCGCTAATAATATCTAAATCAAAACACTATTTCTGTTGTGCATTACTCCGAAAGGAGTTGCTTCAAAAATCGATCAGAGTCCATTAACCCCCCCCCCCCCCCCCCCCTCCCCTCCCCTCTAGACTCTCTTTCGACCCTACCGGGACCAACATAGTTCAGTTAGAAATTTAGAATGATTGAATGAATATCTTTATCTTTATATATATAATAAAGCAAAATCCAAGGCCACAAAATTTTCCTTAAACATTTTTATATTTTTTGTGTGAAGGTAAATCAAACATATTATTTTTACAATTATAGTTACAATTATTATCTTTATCCTTGCTATCATATATCTATATATATATATATATATATATATATATATATATATATATATATATATATATATATATATATATATAATTTTTTTTAAAAGTACTTTGCCATTTGAAAGGTTATTATATACATATCAGAATTTTTGTTATAACATTTAGAGTAAATTATATATAATAAAGCAAAATTCAAGGCCACAAATTTTCCCTCCAAAACATTTTTATATATTTTTTGAAGGTAAATCAAACATATTATTTTTATGAACAAGTTTTGTTACAATTATTATCATTATCTTTGCTATCGTCTCTTTCTCTCTCTCTCTCTCTCTCCATATATATATATATATATATATATATATATATATATATATATATATATATATATATACATACATATAATATAACATTCAGATTAAATAAATATTTTTATTAATTACTTTATCTAAGTTTTCGTTGTCCAATGTTTATTGGATTTGTAATTTTTTAGAAAATATTTTGGTATTTGAAAGGTTATTATATACATATTAGAATTTTTGTTATATCATTTAGAGTAAATAAATATTTTTATTAATTACTTTATGTAACTCTTCGTTGTACAATGTTTATTGGATTTCTAATTTTTTTTATTTACAAATATTTTGGTATTTGAAAGGTTATATACATATCAGAATTTTTGTTTAATTAACCATTTAAAAGGATACTTAAATCACTTCGTATACTTAAATCACTATTACAAATCATAAATACAAATGTGAATGCAAAGTGAACAAAAACTTTTGCAATCCTCAATACTAACATTAACTTAAATATACACATACATAGCGCGATAAACATGAACCCTACAAATAAGTCTTGTGGAGAAAAATGTTGGAGCTGCATATGGCATGTTGGGACCTCGATCGCATTCACGAGGGGGAAGCAGACAGTTGGTTGAAGATTAAGGTGCGTTGATGCACCATAAAAAATTATTTAAATCAATTTCATATATAGTATGTGAGTTGTGAGTTCTGCAGTTGTATGTGAAAAAAAATGAAAATGTTGAAGAAATAAACCACCATGGATAAGAGAAAGAAGCCAAAGGTACCATTAATTAATCTGGAGTATTTGTTTTTTTTTTTTAATGATTTTGAGCCTGCTTCACATATGTGAGAAACGTCAGACTTCAAAACATTATCAATGTGAATAAAAATCTCAAAAGTGAAATTCAAACAATTAAACGTTAGTATATTCATAAACGTTAAATATTAGTATTTCATAAACATTAAATATTAGTATGTTCATAATAGACTAAGTAGTATATAAATATTAGACAAATGTATAAATATAAGTAATATATTTCACCTAAACAAATGTTTGAATTAATTATAGAAAAAATATTTTCTATAATTTTGTATTTTTTAAAAATTACTGTGCCCTTATATATATATATATATATATATATATATATATATATATATATATATATATATATATATATATATATATATATATATATATATATATATATATATATATATAGATTTTGAAGAAGAAAAATTAGAAAATTTGGTTGAAGAGATAATCGAATTAGTTTCTCAATCAAGACACATTAAAAATTTTGAAGCAGAATTTCATCAACAGCATGCACATATAAATTATGAAATAGGAGACTCCTACAGACATTCAACTCCTGTTTATCCCATAAATTACGACTCTGATAATTATGAAAATTACTACAGTGGAGCTGAAACTGAATAATTTTAGCAATTTTGAAATGTCTTCAACTATC